AACCATGGTACATACACACAATGGAGTATTATGCAAAGATAAAGAACAATGATGAATCTGTGAAGCATCTCATAACATGGATGAAACTGGAGAACATTATGCTGAGTGAAATAAGTCAATCACAAAAGGATAAATATTGTATGAGATCTCTAGTGTAAAAACTCAAGAAATAGTTTACACACAAGAAACAATCTTTGTTGGTTACAAGGGATGGGGGGGTGGGGGGAATACTAAATAGACAATAGATAAGTGGTAACTTTGGTGAAGGGTAAGACAAGTATACAATACTGGGGAAGCAGCACAACTTGTACAAGGAAAGGTTATGGAAGCTCCACAGACACATCTAAACTCCCTGAGGGACTGAATTGCCGGGCGGAGGACTGTGGGGACCATAATCTTGGGGAACATCTAGCTCAGTTGGCATAAAAAGAAAAAAAAAATACCATGGCTCAGGTCAGGCAAACGTTAGTCCCCAAACAGACATCTTTACTTTTTAACACTTTAAAAAGGTCTTGTACAGCAGATTTGCCAAATGCAATATATCATTTAATTTCTCAACTGCTGCTTCCATCGACATTGACTGTTGATCCAAGCAAAATGAAATTCTTAACAACTTCAATCTTTTCTCCTATTTATCATGATGTTGCTTATTGGTCCAGTTGTGAGGGTTTTGATTTTGTGTTGAGGTGCAATCCATACTAAGACTGCAGTCTTTCAACTTCATCAGTAAATGCTTCAAGTCCTCTTCACTTAGCTAACAAGGTGATGTTGTCTGCATATTGCCAGGTTGTTAATGAGTCTTCCTGCAATCCTGATAGCACGTTCTTCTTCATATAGTCCAGCTTCTCAGATTATTTGCTCAGCATACACATTGACTAATATTGTGAAAAGGTAGAACCCTGACGCACACCTTTCCTGACTTTAAACCATACAGTATTCCCTAGTCCTGATTCAACAGGTTTATGTTGATCCACGCACAGGTTCCTCATGAGCACAAATGAGTGATCTGGAATCCCCATTCTTTGCGATGTTATCCATAATTTTTTATAATCCACAGTCGAATGCCTTTGAATAATCATTAAAACATCGGTAAACATCTTTCTGGGATTCTCTGCCTTCAGCCAAGATCCATCTGACATCAGCAATGACATAAAAACTCCACTTTTTCTTCTGCCCTGCAAAGCACTTTATACTTTCTTTTGTGCTGCTGCAACTCAAGTTTCTATTCCTCAATAAAGCTCTTTCTTCTTACTCCTGACATAGTATGAGATTTTCTTCTTTGACGTATGTGGTGTCAGAAGTGGGATTTTGAAGGTATACTGCCTTCAACAACACCCGAGGTGTCAGGGATTCAGGCTTTGGTACCATCTGAGGAGTTTGGGCTCTCCATGTCCCTGGACACTCAAGAGACGTCCCAAGGTAAACAACCATTTGAATCCAAGCTCCACTCTTTTACGTTCTAGCTCTTCGAGTTTTATTGTGGAATTTTCAGTAAACTATGTTGTAAATAGATGTGCTGTCATCTAGAGTTTGTTGTTCCATTTACAGAGCAAAGGCATAGTAGATTCAGTATAATTCTTAAGGGACCTAGGATTTTCCGAATGATAAATCAGCATTGGCTTCAACTTAAAGCCACCAGCTGCATTCGCCCCTAACAAGTCAGATGGTCATTTGAAGCTTTGAAGCCAGGTATTGACTTCTTGTCTCTAGCTAGGAAAGTCCTATGCAGCATCTTCTTCCAATATAAGGATTTATCATCTAAACTGAAAATACGTCATTTAGCATAGCCGCCGTCATCAATCCATTATCTTAGCTAGATCTGGAATCTGAGAGCTTGGCTATATGAAGAACGCGGCATCAGGATTGGAGGAAGACTTAACTTGCGATATGCAGATAACAAGACTTTGCTTGCTGAAAGTGAAGGGAAACTTAAAGCACTGACTGATGATAAAAGACTACAGCTTTCAGTATGGATTAGACCTCAATATAAAGAAAACAAAAATCTTCACAAATGAACCAATAAGCAACACCATGATAAATGGAGAAAATATTGAAGTTGTCACGGTTTTCATTTTACTTGGATCCACAATCTATACCCATGGGAACAGCACCCATGATGAATTGCATTGGGCAAATCTGCTGCAAAAACTTTCTTTAAAGTGTTAAAAAGCAAAGATGTCACTCTGAGGACTAACGTAAGCCTGACACAGGCCAAGGTGTTTTCAATCGCCTCATGTGCATGGAAAACAAAGGAAGACTGAAGAATTGATGCCACTGCACTGTGGTGTTGGAGAATATTGAATATACCATAGACTGTCAGAAAAACCAACAAACGTGTCTTGCAAGGTACAGCCAGAATGCTCCTTAGAAGCAAGGATGGCAAGACTTCATCTTATGTACACTTTGGACAGGTTATCAGGATGGACCAGTCACAGAACATGATGCTTGGCAAATAGAGGTTGAGTGAAAGAAAGGAAGACCCTCAATGAGATGGACAGTGGCTGCAAAGATGAGCTCAAGGATAGCAACAATTGTGAGCATGGCACAGGACAGGGCCGTGTTTTGTTCTGTTGTACATAGGGTCACTATGAATTGTAACCAACATGGTGGTACAGAACTAAAGTGGAACATATTCATAGCCTGTAACCTTTTGGTTCCACCCATAGATGTATTACGCAAACAAATATACATTCAGCAAATGCATGAATGAAAAAAAATTGGAAAATTAAGATCCTATTCCTCTAAATCTACTTTCAGTACTAAAATCTGTATCAGTTAAGTGTTTGACCAGAGAAAGAAAACCAACAAAAGAAACATATTATGACACTTATTCCAAGGAAGTGGCCTATGTTATTTTGTGGGTTGCTCAAAATCCATAGGGCAGGCATTCATGAAGGACAAGTTGGAGCTCTGAAGCATGAGTTGAAGCTATTATCCACGGACCAAACTTCTTCATCTTCAAAGAAGCCTGAATATACCAAACTATTTGTACGTATGTTTTATTATGAACATCTTTCTTTCTGGGAGTCTGAAATTTTTGATACATGCTAGGCAGAGGGTGCCTACATGAAGAGCACCCAGTGAAAACCTTGGGGACTGTGTGTATAATGAGATTAACTAGTAGCCATTTTACTTGTTGACACATATCAATGCTGAAGGTATTTAACGTTATGTGTGTTCCAAGCTTGGAAGTTTGTGTCCTGGTTTCAACATCACCCCACAGAGGCCAGTAGGGTGGGCATCCCAACTCATGGAATGAGAGCACTGAGCGCCTTCAGGCACGAGGTTTTCTGGTGGAGTTGGGTGACTTTGGGAATTTGTCAGCAGAGCTAGAGCTTTATAACTGTTGCCCATTAAGGCAATAGCCAGGCCTAGAGTGGGGCTCCAGCAATAAGACTAGAAGCAGCTCTCCTTATTGAAGAACTGAACTGAGATGTTCCTGTTACTTCCAAGTTTATTCTGATCGTGGACTGTAACCTGTTTCATCACTAATAATCCCCATAATGCTGAGTAAAGTCTGTGATTTCTGTGTGGTCACTGCAACCAATTATTGCCCCAGCTGAGAAGTACAATGTGTTGTGCAAGGAATGGATGGTGTCAGAATTGGTAAAAAGGTTAGAAAGTGGAGATATGTCTGGCCTCCACCTCATATAGACTGGCCGTTGGCTGATGATGGTGATTATCAATTCATCCTCAAATTAGAAGAGAAGGTATGACATGCCATTTTTACAGGCAACTACCTCTGACACTTTCAAAGTGTTATGGAAAAGCCCTGTCTTAACACCACTGAATATCCATTTAGTTGTTTGATATGGAGTGGCTTGTTGCAAGGTTAACAACTTCTAAGTATGTACTGCCAGAAAAATCACAAAACATTTTTCAAAGTTCAATTTATTACTCTATACAATGGACTGAACAGTACACAGAGCCTCAAATAATAATATATAACTTGGAAACAGGCTATGAAGAGGAGTGGAACCAACTGCAATATGGTGTTGTTGTGTGCCATTAGGTCAATTCCAACTGATAACCCTATAGGTCAGAGCAGAACTGCCCCTTAGGGTTTCCTAGGCTACAATCTTTATGGGAGCAGATTGTCAGGGCTTTTCTCCCCCAGAGCCTCTGGTGAATTCCAACTGTCAACCTTTCATTTAGCAGTCAAGTGCTTAACCATTGCACCACCAGGCCTCCTTTGCAATACATTACTACTCTATCATTACTTCAGGTTACAGTATTGAGTGGTTTTCCACATTTACACTAATGTTTGTTCCCTTGAATATTCATTTTTCAGGTATCCTTTCTGGGTGAAATTTTCAAATATTGTACATTGTCTCTTTTTGATTCATTTAACAAATAAACATTGCACATACCTACAAACCCCACAGCAGTTTCTGCACTCATGGAGCTTACATTCTAGTGGATATTAATTTTCGTACGTATATCATACTTTTGCTAAACACCAAATCAAACTTTCATTCTTCTCAAAGCCTATCTCTTGAGTGATATCTCATAAATTCCTAAGTTCTGACTGAAGCCCCTATTGCATAACTCATAAAGGTTCACTGATGTGTGCTTTGCTGAAAGTCAGAATTTAATAAAACAAATATTGTCTTTTCTGAGACCTGAGGACTATAAGAATTCAGATTGCACACAAGTTTTTTAAAACATTCATTTTGTAGAATTCATTCCTGTTAGGATTCTTTGATCTTCTTAACACTATTATCACATTCAGAAAACTGATCATGGCATGGATTTTGTAGTTTAAAAGATCTGATCTCTAACTGAAACTCTTACCACAAATTATCACACTACTAAGGTTTCTCCCCAGTCTGAATTCTCTGGTGAGACTGTTGTGAGGATCGACTCAAGACTTTACCACATACATCCCATTTATACAGTTTCTCAACAGTGTGTACATGCTCATGATGTTGAAGTCTTGAGGCCTGACTGAAGTATATCCCAACTCCCCACACTTATATGGTTTCTCTCCTATGTGGACCCTCCGGTGCATGTTAAGATTCTTACTCCACCTGAAGCTCTTCCCACACTCTTCATATTTGAAGGGTTTTTCTCAACTGTGCACTCTTTGATGGAACCAACACTGCGAAGCATTTCTGAAGGCCTTCCCACACACCTCACATTTATAGGGTTTCTCTCCTGAGTGGAGTCTACAGTGAACTTGGAGATTTAGTCTAGTACTGAAGCCCTTCCCACACTCTTCACATTTGAATGGTTTTTCTCTACTGTGGACACTGTGATATTTCAAAAGATACGCAGCCTTCTGGAAGCACTTTCCACACTCCTCACAATTAATAGTGTTTCTCTCCTTCGTGGATTCTACGATGACGCTGAAGAGTCGATCTACTACTTAAGTACTTCCCACACTCTTCACATTTGAATGGTTTTTCTCCACTGTGGACACTCTGATGGGCCAGAAGTTTTGAAGCATATCTGAAATCCTTTCCACACTCCTCACAATTATAGGGCTTCTCTCCTGTGTGGATTCTACGATGATGTCCAAGATTTGATCTATTTCTGAAGTACTTCCCACACTCTTCACATCTGAATGGTTTTTCTCCACTGTGGACTCTCTGATGGGACAAAAATAGTGAAAAGGCCCTGAAAGCCTTCCCACACTCCTCACAATGATATGGTTTCTCTCCTGTGTGGATTCTATAATGAATTTGAAAATCTGTTCTATGACTGTAGCCCTTTCCACACTCATAACATTTGTAAGGTTTCTCCCCAGTGTGAATTCTCTGGTGACAGTACAGGTTTGAAGATTGACTGAAGACTTTACCACACACATCACATTTGTATGGTTTCTCTCCAGTGTGGACACGCTTATGAAGTTGAAGAATCGAGGCCTGACTGAAGTACTTCCCACACTCCCCACACTTATATGGTTTTTCTCCTGTGTGGACCCTCAGATGTGTGTTAAGATTATTGCTCCACTTGAAGCCCCTCCCACACTCATCACATCTGTATGGCTTTTCTTCACTATGGACTCTTCGATGGGCTTTAAGGAGTGAATTCTGATGGAAACTCTTCTCACACTTTTCACATTTGAAGGGTTTTTCTCCACTGTGACCTCTTTGATGGGACAAACATTGTGAAGCATATCTGAAGGTCTTCCCACACACCTCACATTTATATGGTTTCTCTCCTGTGTGGATTCTACAGTGAACTTGGAGATTTCTTCTAGTACTGAAGCTTTTCCCACACTCTTCACATTTGAACCGTTTTTCTCTACTGTGGACTCTCTGATGGGCTACAAGTTGTGAAGCGTGTCTGAAATCCTTCCCACAATCATCACAATTATAGCATTTCTCTCCTGTGTGGATTTTACTATGAAGTTGAAGATGTGATCTACGACTGAAGTACTTCCCACACTCTTCACATCTGAATGGCTTTTCTCCACTGTGGACTCTCTCATGGGCCAGAATTTGTGAACTGGTCCTGAAACCCTTCCCACACTCCTCACAATTATAGGGTTTCTCTCCTGTGTGGATTCTATAATGAATTTGAACAGATGCTCTACGACTGAAGCCCTTCCCACACTCTTCACATTTGTAAGGTTTCTCTCCCATATGGACCATGCAATGATTATTAAGTGCTGCTCTACGATGAAAGTTCACACCACATATATCACATGTGAATGATCGTTCTCCAACGTGGATTCTCTGGTGTTCCTGAAAATGCAAAGGATACATAAAATCCCTCCCACATTCCTCACAGTTATAAGGTTTTGCTCCTGTGTGGCCTTTGCAATGAACTTTAAGTGTTGCTCTATGCTTGAAACGCTTCCCACATTCCTCACATTTGTGTGGTTTCTCTACAGTGTGGACATTCAGATGACTTTGGAGATGTGAGCTCTGATTAACTTCCTTACCACATACATCACTCTTATAGCGGTTCTTTCCCATATGAGCTCTCTGATGATTACGAAGACATGAAATATAACGGAAGCTTTTTCCACACTCACTACATGTGAGAGACTTCTCTTCTGAGTGTAATTGCTGATGAAGATCAAAGCTGGGAACATCACTGAAAGTTTCTGTACACTTGTTACACTGGCAAGTTTTCTCTCCTGTGTGAATAACAGACAGTCCTCCTGCAACAAGAGAGGGTGAATCACCTTGTTTGTAGAACTGAGACCTATTGCTCACAGATTCTTGACACCTGGTTAAGTCACTTGCAATTTGTTGCCAGATATACCAACTGGAAAGCTCCTCATGTGCTCCTGCTTGTGGAGCCATCTCCATTTGCCTTGGATTCTTGCCTCCTGTAAGGACACAGTATTCAGAGATATAGGCAAGTGAAAGATTTGTTGACAGCTTTCAAGATTACACATTTATATAGGAGATGAGACATTACTGAACCCAGAAAAGGTTCAGTTGCTCTTTTCCACTGCATATCATGTTCTCTGGTTTACATGACATCAAAATCAAGAGTAGATGCACTGGCCACCAAACCACTAAGCATAAGAACACCCATTAGACAACACCAAGCCAACTAAGTGAGCTACAATTCATCAATAAAAGCCTTAACTGAAAAATTGGTAAAATTATAAAAATTGTTAACCTGTTACTACTTGTATTAAATTTCAGTTAGTACACAATTTTGGATAGTATATAATGCAGTTAGAAAAATCATGTTGAAAATAAAAAGGAATCAACAAAGTATATATTTCATTGTGTACATTTTCACTATATTAAAATTAAAAGATAATAAATAGAGAAGAACTCTAACGAAAAACAATAACACAAATTAAAAGTTTGCATACTTTCAGATGATTTTTTCAGTAAAGCTCTCATTTAACGGAGGGGCCCTGATGATGCATTTGTTAACTACTCAGTTGGTAACTGAAATGCTGGTAGTTTGAATTCACCATCTGATCTGCAGAAGAAAGATGTGGCAGCCTGCTTCCATAAAGATTTATAGCCTTGGAAACCCTATGGAGCAGTTCTACTCTGTTACATTGGGTCACTATGAGTCAGAATCGACTTGACGGCTATGGATTTTTGAAGGAAATTTTGACAGAGGAGAATGTCACTTTTCTCACTGCAGCAATAGTCGATTAAAAGCTACCTCCTTCATCTTAGCAGACATTTATAGTTTGTGTAAAACTCTGTCTTGATTTATTTTATTGGAAAATTACTCCAATGCCTAAAGATCTGAGAGGCCCTCAAATGGTTGTAATGATGTGCAGATTTGGGAGAAAAGCACACATTCTCTTACTGACCAAAATGCAGCATATAAGCAGAGAGTGGTCCTTTAGCTCCTGCTGAGTTTTCTCCATAAAGACAAATGGGGAAAAAAGTTGAAGTAATGACATACACTATTCTGAAACCTGACAGTAATTCAGACTTTCGTAATCTCCAGGGAAAAAAACGAACGAGTGCAAGTGAATCTTTGACAACAGAGACAGAGCTGGGGAGAAAAAAAGAATAAGGCACAGTGAAATGAAATTTTCTGAAAGTCAATTCTATGAAGGGAGTTACACTGGGCCTGGAACTCTACTAAGATACTTCTAAAGATGGTTTCCTACTTCTCTGAGGTCTGTGCTCAACTGTCAGTCCATCAATAAGTTCAAGGTAAAATAATAAACCCTGTCCATGGCTAATTTACCTCTGGTGACTTCCATCCCCCTTGACTCCAAATTCTACACAATACTTATTACCATACATAATACTATCTAGGCCATTTTTGCTTAATCTATGTCTTTCTGACTACACTGCAGTATCAAGAAGGACAAGCATTTACACTATTTCCTGCTTTATAACCACTATCTAAAACAGTGCATGGCAATAGTGGGTGCTTAACAGGTGCATGGTGTACGAACAAACAAATCCTTGTTTGACGTTTTTGTGAATACTTAAGTATAGAAACAAAAAAGTGTTTCCAAGTAAGTTCTGTAAAATAGCAAAGGAGCAGGAAACTGTAGTTTTGTTGGGAAACTGAAGGCTGTTCCAGAAGCAAGGTCTACCAAGAGTGATGCTGCTGAGGTGAAAATCAAAGGTAGCAAAATTCACTTCAGTGAAAAGAAAGCGTGACGGCCTATGCACAGATTGCTTCTGAGCCTTTGGGCTGTTTGAAAAGAGTACTGAAAATCTGTGGCTGTAAGCAAACTGACCACTCACAACAGGTTTTCAAATTGAAGACTACATCCCATTAGTAAGTTGTGAAATAGGTTTAAAAGCTTGTAATAAGCATTTAAAAAAAAAAAAAATCAAGCATAATCCCAAACAAAAATAATAAAATAACAATAATGTCATTACAGGAAATGCTTTATGAATTCATATATAAATCTACACAAACATGAAATGTTTGCACTAAAAGACACCTTTCTGATTATGGCTTATGCTCGAAAATGGAGCAGAGTAAGTCCTTAACTAAGCAAAATATTCAAATGGAAAGTTGAAAATGATCAAAAATATAAGCGACTTTCAGCTGTGTGACACATGTTCCTCTTATTTACATTGGCCCCCTCTAGCACAAGGAATGCGAAACCCCGGGGTAATGACGTGGATGTGGACTGCACAAGAATGAATAGGCCACAGCTGTCAAATCTTTCAAAGGAAATTAAGCTTGCTTGGTTATTGTCTAAGACCTCAAGAAAAAGATTTTTTCGTTGTTGTTCTTGGAAGGCCTGCTCAGATGTAGACATCAGAATTTTCATACAAAAGTGTAGTATTTTGTCCCACAAATAAACACGCCCCTCCATGGAAGGCTCCAAGAAAGCCCCAGGGAAAGCATATTACTCAGCACAGTCACAACTACAATGCTTAAGTGTTTTTCTAACATGTGAGTCAAGTGCAAACACACACGAACACACACACACTCCCCACACGGGCATCTAAGAAAGCAGAACTTAGCCAGGCGTTCATTAGCAAATTGTTCTGCCACAGCCTCATTCACTTTGGTTTGTGCAATACCTATTAGCTATCTCTATGAATCAGGAAGACAGAGAGAGGTACCTATGTATGTTAACTTAATTCCTCAAGTCAGCAAATATGTACAGATACCTGTCACATACAAGGACAATTCTAGGCCCTGAGGAGTCAGCAAAAACCAAAACGGATAAAAATCTTTCACTCCTTGAGATAACATTGGATTAGGTGTAACAGGTATTAAGCAGATTAGCAAAGACAGATATGACAAAATAGGCCAAGGCAAGGAGAGTAGAGTGGATGGTATTTTAAATAGTGTGTGCGGTGCAGTAAATTACTTACCATGGCCTTTCTAGCCATAGTCTTCTATCTCTCACCAAAAGACTGGATGGGTCTATGCAAATGAGGTCTTGTGGCCCACTAAGGGGATTGGATAGCCTGCTAACAATGTAAATAAGATTCATGGCACCCTTGTGAACGTGGGACCATGCAAATAAGGTGTATGGACCCTAACCAGGGGATTGGTCAGTTCTGTCATCCTGCAAGGATTAAAATGAACCATTCCAGAGGCAGGAAGGGAGGATCTCACCATCACCAAGAAAGAAGAGCCAGGAATGGAGAACATGCTTTGGTGCCGGGATCCCTGCGCTGAAGAAGCATGTACAACCAGGAGACTGAGAGAGAGCTGTAACACCGAAGATGACGCAAAGCAGTAGAAGAGAAGAAGCAGGAGCAGAACCAGGAGACCAGGAGGACAGCAGCAAGAGATGTGGCAGTGGGCTTCCAGGCCCATGGAGCAAGAAAGCTGAGTGCCTTCAGGCAGATGGCTTACCGGTGGAGTAGGGTGCCTCGGGGCAACAAGTGGAGCTAGGTTTGCTAACCCACAGAGCTAGAGCTGAGCACCTTTGGGCTGAGGCTTACTGATGGATTGGGGTGCTTCGGCGCACTTATTGGCAGAGCTAAAAGAACTGTGTAACACTTGCTCAAGCACAGTAGAGGTCAGAGGGCCAGAGAGAGATGTGCCTGCAGGCACAGCTAAGAAAAGGATATCCTGATCGAAGAATTGTATGCTGAGTGTTCCTGAACCTTAATTGTTTGTTACTTCCCAAATAAATCCCGTAACAAAGAGTATCGTCTATGAGTTCTATGAGGTCACTGCAATGAATCATCAAACCCAGTAGAGAAATAAAATGTGTGGTGAGAGGGATGGTTGGTGTTAGAACTGGTAAAAAGGTTGGAGGGGGGCGGTATGTCTGACCTCCAACTCATAGAAATCAGCCTTGGGCTACTGACCTTCAATCTCCTTCTTCCTTGTGGAATTAGAGGATATCAGATGTCCCTGCCAAGCCATTTTTACAGTGTGAAAGGCAAGTCTTCTCTCCTGATATTAAAACAGAGCAGAGACATGAAGGAAGTCAGGAAGGGGGTCAGGAAGATTTCAGGTGAAGGAGTATTCCAGACAGAGATAGCGAATAAAGTGGTCTGAGGCAAGAAGCACATCCACAGCGGATACATATCTAGTGATGGATATTTCTATATACACGACTGTAGGTGCTTCTCATATATTAATGTAGACAATACAGTACACAAGGGGCACAGTCAGGGAAACCTCTTAGACATAACCAGATACCTCACGGGATGAAGTTCCTGGGCTCAAAGACAAAGGGGGATACCAACTTCAACTGGCATGACACAGTTCATAAACACAATGTTCTGCATCCTACTATAGTTAAGTAGCATCTAAGGTCTTAAAGCTTGTGAGCAGACATCTAAGATACAAAGATTGGTCTTTCCCTGTCTGGAGCAAAGGAGAGTAAAGAAAACCAAAGACTCAAGGGAGCAAACAGTCCAAAGGACTAATGGACCATATGCCCCACAGCCTACATGACCTAGAGACCAGAACTACATGGTGTCCAACTACCACTACCAATCTCTCTGACTGGGATTACAACAGAGGGTCTCAGACAGGAAGGGAAAAAAATGTAGAACAAAAAATCAAATTAAAAAAAAAAGATCAGAGTTACTGTTCTGACAGACTGGAAGAACTCTCGAGACTATGGCCCTAAGATACCCTTATGACCTGAAACTAAAGCCAATCTCGAAGACCACCTGCCATCCAAACAATAGACAAGCCCACAAAATAAATAATACTCAAAAGTAACGTGCTCCTTAGAACTATCAGTTATAGAAAATCAAAAGGGCAATATTTGCCCAAAAGCAAAGATGACAAGGTAGAAAAGGGCAGAAACTCACGACAAAAGGAAATGGGGAAGCCAGGGTGGAAATGGGGAGAATGCAGACACATTGTAGGGAATGAAGCCAAGGCCACAAAATACTTTATGTATAAATTATCAAATGGGAATCTACTTTGCTCTGTAAACTTTCACCTAGT